TAAATAGTAATAATAATAATAATTGTTATTATTATTATTATTATGATTCTCACCTTTCACATTCCAGCATCTGAGCAATGCAACCTGAAAGGAGGAACAATATGCTATTTACTGAGGTAGGTAGGGGTGTGTGTGTGTGTGTATCCTGTGAGAAAATATATATATATATTCTGTGACTTTGACCATGAGCTGCCATGGATTCTGCTTATTTATTTATTAGTTTGTGGGGTACCTGTAAAAGACTCTCCCTGAGCTCAGGCTGACTACATCCCAGAATGCTAATCAACTGTCAGGAAGAGTGGAGGGATCTGTGGCCTCTGGGTCACTTGAGACCTTATACAATTAGTAAAAATTTGTACTTTTTATAGGATCAAAATTGATGTGGACAGAGTAAAAATGTTTCAAAATGCTGTTCTAGAAATGCTTCTCAAATGCATTCAGACAATGCTTTCTGAAATTATAGGAATTGAAAGAAATGTGAATAATCTCACTATTACCGATCTTTATTCTTCAAATAATAATTTAAAGAAAAAATAAATACATAAATAAGTAAATAAATAAATAACTTCAGAATTAATTAAATGTTTACTTGGTTCCAGGCTCTGTGCTCAATGTTTTATATATGATAATCTTCAAAAACATCCAATATTGTTATTTATTTCCACATATATATATGTGGAAAGCAAAATATCCATACACACACACACACACACACACACACACACACACACAAACACACATATAAAACCTAGGACTTAACAATGCTGAGATACTACTAGTCACACAACTAGTGGATAGCCAGACATTAATAATTCTCTCCATAGTATTTTCAGATCATGAATTGAACTTGAGTCATTGGCTCTGAATTCTGCTGCACTCCATTTCTAACTTAAAGATTGGCCTTCTGAAAGTCACCAACCCTCTTCTTGTCTCAGATTCTGCATCTTAAAAACAAAGATAACATTTTTTCCAAACCCCACATACAAAGGAGATAAGGAGATATGACATACTCATATGACAAAGTAAACATATTTGCATTGTTGGCACCATCTTCTATAAAAAATTTAAAATAATTTTACACAGTTTGACATTTTTCATTTATATGTATATCCCAAATGTCAGCCAAATTTACCCTATTTTTAAAGATTGACATAAAATGACTGAATGCTCCTGTCCCTTTGAAAGCAAAATACCCACTTGCTTTCACCACCATCCCACTTTCTGAGAGATAGTTATTAAATGTGCTTTTGTGGATGACAGTAGTTCTCAATTCCCACACAACGAACTCTGTCTTCCTTTTTATTGTGTGTGTGTGGTACTGGGGATTAAACCCAGGGGCACTTAGCCACTGAGCCACATCCCCAGGCCTTTTTAATATTTTATGTAGAGACAGGGTCTCACTAAGTTGCTTAGTGCCTGACTAAATTGCTGATACTGGCTTTGAACTCGAGATTCTCCTGCCTCAGCCTTCCAAGTCATTGGGATTACAAATGTGTGCCACTGTGCCCAGCCTCTGTCTTACTTTTATTTCCAATGACTTTTTCACGATTACTGATCTTTATTCTCCAATAATAATTTAAAGAAAAAATAAATAAATAACTTCAGAATTAATTAAATATTTACTTGATTCCAGGCTCTGTGCTCGATGCTTTGCATGTAATAATCCTCAAGAACATTGAATATTATTATTTAATTCCATACATATTGATAGGGCTTATACACACACACACACACACACACATATATGTGTATGTGTGTGTGTGTGTGTATATATATATGTGTGTGTGTGTGTGTGTGTGTGTGTGTGTGTGTGTGTGTGTGTGTATTAGCAACACTGAGATACTACCAGTCACACAAGTAGTGAAGAGCTAGGTATTAATTATTCTCTCCACAATTCACCAGAAGTGAACACTGAATTTTCCCAAGATGATGTCAGTTATTTGTGTAGATGACTTTTCTGAAGTTTTAAAGCAATAAAAGAAGGAACTTATAGGATAAAACTGCATAGAAAATATCTTTAAACATGTTAGATGATCCTTTTAATTAAAACTCTTCAATGTCCCTGCTGACCAGGAATTATGTGCTGACTTCCTCTCTTCAGTTACCAGCCTTCTTCTATCTTATTTGGCTCTAACTAATCCTTATCTCATTTTTATCCTCCTCACAAATTTATGCCAACTTATTCTCAACAGTTTAGCTTATAATACTTTCATGTATTTCCTTCCAGATTATATGCCTCATCTTCCATATAAGAGACATTTTCCTTATCAAAACAATTTTTTCTCCCTGAAAGGAAATTGGTTGCCACTCACCAACATATACTTTTATAAAACTCCATTTCGTATTGGACACACTAGCACCTTGCTTATTTGGGTTTACTCGTGTGGTGAACTTAGTACAGACCAGGAAGTCCCTCTGAAGCCAAGTATACATCTCAGGCATTTCATTTATCAAAATAAATAAATAAATAAAAATGTTTAAGAAGTAGCAGTAATGATGAAAATGATTTTAAAAACAAAGAGTTTGTCTTATCCTTTAAAAAAAACTCCTCTAAAAGTCAAAGTTTTTTTAGTAAAAATACTTTCTTCCATTGTTAAAAAGAATGAGCTATAATAAAGGAATCTAAGAAGCATTTCTGAATATGACATATCTCAGATGTGATTGTATCAATGGATTAATTTGTCATATGCTTGAATGTTTAGAAAAAAGCCACTAAGATAAAATAACAAATACACAAAGATAAGCCAACTCTACTGTTGCACAAAGTGATGAGAAAGAAAGTTGTTGCAATGGGGATAAAAAGCAAGCAAACATAAACACATTGGAATAAAAGGGCCTAAAATTCTCCCTTAGACTTGTTACTAGTAGAGGCAGGATAAAGTTTCCAATTTACATTTTTAAAACTCACAGCTAGTTTTAAATCCAATACCACCAGCTGTAACCCAGCAATCACATGAAGTAAATTCATTTTTTAAAAAATTGGTTGAAAGATTCATGTATTTGACCTCAACATTATGATAACTATAAATAATCAGATTTATTATTGACTGTGTACTCTACAGTATAATCTTTCAGAAGAACTTGTCATTGACCTAGGTTTTAATAGATGAATAACAGTTCCAGAATCAGCGCCGTGGGCAATCCTGATGGAATGAGTGCACAAGCAGTGCCAAGTGTGCCGATTACTTGTCGTTCTATAGGGAGGATGCAAAGATCAAAGAACGTGGACAGGTAGGTGTTCACTCCTGGAACGAAAGTCAAAGGATCACTACTCTGATGAAACAAAAACACAATTCATTCATTTTTTTTTTATGATACCAGGGACTGAACCCAGGAGTGCTTAATCACTGAGCCACATCCCCAGCCCTTTTCTTTTCTTTTTAGTATCTTTATTTTATTTATTTATTATTTTTATGTGGTGCTGAGGATCAAACCCAGGACTTCTCACATGCATATTCTACAACCCCAGCCCCCAGCCCTTTTCTACTTTTTATTTTAAGAGTGTCTCATTAAATTGATGAGGGCCATGCTAAGTTTCTGAGGCTGGCTTTGAACTTGTGATCCTCCTGCCGTAGCCTCCGGAGCCACTGGGATTATACTCATGGGCCTAAAATTCTCCCTTAGACTTGTTACTAATTGTGGCACCTGACCACAATTTATAATTTAAGCTAAAATAAATGGTATTTAGCAGTACTGATAGAATAGATTAAAAGCCTGATTATTATTTTTCAGATATTTTTAGAAGGGTGCAGAGTTTGGAGAAGAGAATTTGACTTTGAGGCAAATTACTAACAAAAATATGTAGACATAATTTAAACAAACAGGTCAATCCTGTGATATGACTGATACAATTGCCTAATAGAAATATCCAGAATATATTTTCCTGTATACATTCATTTTAAAATTCATTATTTCCATGTTGTGTTACTTAACTAGTAACCACAAATACCTGAAACTTCTAGTCTTTATGTCTAAGAAATAAGTAATATCCCTGAGAAGTTAAAGTGCCCATTTCTACAAAGAATGGACTCACCATATTCCCCAATCTCAGCCTAGTTTTCAATCCTCCTTCAACTTCAAGATCTTGGTGAAGCATAGACTTTAAACCTAAAACCAGATGAGAGAGCTGTATCCCTAGCGACTATCCTTGGCCATTAACGCTCTTTCTATCCCCCATAGTTTTTAGTAATATGTTGATATTTAAGTGTTGAAGGTTTCCAAAGAATAAGATTTCCTATGAATAATCTATCTACAAGTATTCACCATATTAGAAATCCATTATGTTTAATTTAGACCCTATAAATGCCTTGCATCAAGTCCTAACAAGATAGGGAACAATATATACTGAAAAACATTGGAATCTAACTTTCAGTATTTTAAGAATGTATTCCTTTTTCTCATGAATTCAACTGTTGTCATTTTTGACCCCAACCTCCACCTCAAAACGGTCAACACTATAAACATCTGTTGATGGGTAATTGTTATTTTTATTATGTTTGACATATTTTTAATGGTTTCTATTGATTTGTTCGTCCTAGCTATTGTGCATAGCAAATAGAATATTTATTATATGACCTCCCTGCTCTGTCTTCAAGGAGATGGTATAAGGCATGTTCAAAAATAGATTTTTGAAAATTCTCATAGACTCTTTTGAACTTCATACATAAAAAAGACCTAAAAGACCTCAAGTATTTAGTAAAGTTCTCTTTGCTCCTCTAAAGAAATTCTTAAAATAAGATTTAAATTACATAGGAAAATCATCTTTTAAAAATTTCATCTGAGCAAAAAAAAAAAATGGGAAAAAACATAGAAATATGGTGACCAGTGTTTTAGTCAGTTTTTTTTTGTTTGTTTTGTTTCTGGGTTTTTTTTTTTTTTTTTTTTGCTTCTGTGACTAAAGGATCTGACCAGCACAACTGTAGGGAGGAAAAGTTTATCTGAGGGATGGCTCAGAGGTTTTAGTCCAGAGAAGGCTGGCTCCATTCCTTGGGGCTCGAGGTGAGGCTGGTCATCATGGCAGGAGAGGGTGGCAGATCACATCATGATGATCAAGAAGCAGAGAAAGAGATTCCAGCTCCAAATAAAAATATATACCCTATAGCCACGCCCCCAACTAACCACTTCCTCCAGCCACACCCCACCTGCCTCTGGTTACCACTCAGTTAACCCCACCAGGGATTAATTCCCTGATTGGGTTGACTCTCACAACCCAATCAATCATTTCTCCTCTGAAACTTCTTGCGTCATCTCACACGTGAGCTTTTGGAGGACACTTCACCTCCAAATCATAACAACCAGCGATATGGTTTTTTTTCCATAGTGAGTTGAGAAAAATTTTGGAACAGTATGCTGAATTAAACAAAACTACAAGGCAGTTAAATATATTCCAGATGGATTGTCCCATCTATTGCTTTCCATCTTCTCCCCTTTCTTGACCTCAAGAGGAAGAGGAAATTTTTCACTGATTCTTAAACATTGCAAACATTTTCCAATTAGCTTTGTAGGAGCTATAGAGAGCCAAGTGTGGTTCAGTTGAGGTCTATCCAAATTTTATCTAGCAGACATTTGTGGCAAAATAAACTGAACAAGTTTCTCTCTTCCTGAACTAGATAGTAATTTCCCCTTCATCCTTGTGGAACACATTTCAAGACTCCCAGTGGAAACCTGAAACCAATGATAGTACTGAACTTTCTACAGTCATCCCTTATATCTGAGGATTCCATATCCATCAATTCAACCCACATGATTGGGAAATATTAAGGAAAAAAATTAGGTCTGTACTAATTATGTATAAACTTTTTTCTTTGTCATATCCCCTAAACAATCCAGTATGACAGCTATTTACATATCATGTACATTGTAATTAGGTAATAGAAATTAGAGATGACTTCAAGTCATCTTGAAGTATGGGAGGAGTATGGGAGGATGTTTGTTTATATACATATAAATACCATGCCATTGTATGACCTGAGCATCTGTGGATTTTGTTATCCTCAAAGGGTCTTGGAATCAAAACCCACAAATACTAAGAGACAACTATATATATCCTTTGTTTTCCCCTAAACATACATACCTATTATGAAGTTAAATTTATAAATTAGATAAAGATAACAGTCATACTTATTATAAAATAAAAGCATTATAACAATATACAATAGTTAAAATTATTTGAAAGTGGTCTGTCTCTCAAAACATGGAATTTCCCATTTAATATCTTCAGAGAACAATTGACCACAGATAACTTTAACCTCATAAAGTGGAACCACAGTTAAGGAGGATTACTGTACAATTAAATTTTTAAATTTTTTGTCTTAGAAAAATGCATCCTCTTCAAGTTTAGATACAAAGAAGTATGCACATTTCTTTCATTTGTTTTTGAAACCCTATGACATTCCTCCCCACCTCACTGTAACATTCTGCAACTCCCCCAGCCCACACATACACTTCCCACTCCTTCCTCCATTCAGTTTAAGGGGACCGGCTCCTTTCCGGCCCCAGCACAGTGCTGTCAACACAACTTTTAGTGGAAGAAGTACATGGTCTATTCCTAAACAATCAAGTACCAAGTAGACTAATTCCTTAAAATTTTGCTCCCAGATGGTCAGAGAACCTTGCTGGGCAGACATTCTCTATCTTCAAGTGAGACAGATAAATGACCTCCTTAGAGGGTGATACAAATTTGAAGATTGAAGAAAAATCAAACTCCTCAATCTTTTTAAACCAGGAGCCAGGGGGAAAACAATTGTGTGTGTGCTCACCTGACAACAGAGAGTAATTCTTTCTATCTGTATCAACAAATTAATCTTGAAGCTGATGTGAAATGTGTCTGTCTACAGAACATGGGTTCCTTTTGCTTTTGTTTGATAACACTACCCCTTTGGAGATTCTTTTGGCTTTGTGCCGTGAACATTCATTTCCTGCAATGATAGTTGCTTGGATATTTTGATTTTGTGAAGCCTGGATGAATCTGATGACAATGATTTCCCATCAAAGTTGCACACATGTGAAATTGGAATTGGCAGGATGAAAAGGAGTCTTTCTCGTTTGCCCAGTGAATCATTTACCAGGTACAGATTTCTCATGATTAGGAAGTCTACATTTTAAGTCATTTTGGATATCTAAGTAGGTCCTTGAAGGTTGGATGAGTCAACAAAATTTGCAGAATTGGCCACACTGACTTTGGAGCAAAGACCAGCAGCTGGCAACTGGGCAGTGATTCAGGGGACAGCTGATGCTAAAAGAAAAAAGAATATGCAATTTATTGCCTGCAATCAGCTCCTAATCTCTTTAAAAACACCCCTAATTTCCATTATGGTTTCTTTTTCCTTCCAAAGAGTTTCTGGATCTAAATTTTATCTGATTTCAGCAGGACACACACCAATGTGGGAAGAGTGGAGGACAAGGCAGGTGAGTAGCACAGGGATTTAATCTGGGCCTCAATCACACATGGGCACTTATGGCTGAATATTCCCGAAAAATGAAAATGATGGAAACAGCTCACAGAAAATTCGAGAAGAGAAGCTGGAATGTGCAGATCTCTATGCAGCATAGTTATTAGGGGGAGGACAAGCTCCGAAATCAGGAAGTGAAATCTGTGAAGGAGAAGTTGACAGAAGAGGGAACAGGGAGGGAAAAGGAGAAAAGGAGGGCCAGAGAAGGGAAGAAGGTGTGAGCTTCATGACTTGATTAGGGCTAGGTCCTTGTCTTGAGCTCAGCCAAGCTGTCATAAACTGACCCCAATGTCTCAGTAGCTTACAACAACACATTTATTTCTCTCCTGCTTCAAGTCTGTTCCAGGCCAACTGCTGTGGGCAGTTCATTGTCTCCGCTCCAGGCTTCAGGCTGCCTGCCTGAGAGACCTTCCTGGAGGTTTCAGAGGACAAAGAGAGCTTGGAAACCACAAGGTGGAAGCTCAGAAGAGACATGCTTCATTTCTGTTCACATTTCATTTGTCAAAGCAAGTCATATGGCCAAGCCTGATGTCAATGTGGTAGGAATGCTCACATGGAGTGGTATATAGTTATCTAACAGCATGTAATCATTAGATCTGTTGTAATCTTTATAAATAGGGAAAGATAGATGATTTTAGGAGTGCTGGACGAGGTATTTTGTAGAATTTCCTTCAGTTTGAGGTTTTCTAATATTTTTTTTTCAATAATATTTTTTTCTAGGGGGCTGGGTTGTGGCTCAGTGGTAGAGTGCTTGCCTAGCACATATGAGACCCTGAGTTCAATCCTCAGCACCACATAAAAATAAATGAATAATAAAAAAAAGAATGCCCACCTGTAAATGCTAATGAAAGATATCTTTTAATGAATAATATATTTTTTCTAATAGTTTTTATCTTTGGGAGGAGATCACAGCAAATGTACTATTTCCACACATAATGAATCTGTGACTCATCGCTGCTGTTAACCTTAAGGTCGGGGTTCTCTGCAATCTCCACTGTGAAGATACTTGTTTTTCCCTTTTTATACTGTATTATTTGGAGGGAAGCTGCTAAGCACTATGGGATATAGATTTCTCTACTTCCCTGAGGGCATTTCCCCAATTAACAAGAAAGGAATCTGAAGTTTAGAAAATTTAAACCATAGTTACCATAAGACATTCAAGATTGAAACCCAAATATGTTTGACTTATAAAACTGTTCTCTTTTTTTCAGGGCTTCACATTTGGAAGCAAAATGGCTGGGAAAGCAGAAGTAAATATCTATTCTTGTGCCATTGAAGCATGTTGAAAAGCACGCCCCTTGAAACCTGAGGCACTCAGATAATGATTCCTCAATGTACTCCTCACTAGCTTGGTGACTGGAGAGTTATAAATCTTCATCTTTACAATGCTATCCAATCATCGTCCTGACATGGCCTAGTAATTATCTTTCCATAGATATGTTCTGAGTTCATTTTAACCAGTAAGCCATCTTTCAAAACAGAAACCAAATCCCTGGCACACTGTGAGGGAAAGTGATTTTATCTGCACTTCTTGTGAGCTGGAGAGAATTTCTCAACATGATTTCATGAAGAGTTGTAACTCCAGATCTGTCCATGAATGGAGAAGCTCCGGACAATGGAGAAACTGTCACCCAGGCTGAGAAGCAGAGCAATGATAGTTGACATTGGTAGGTAAAAATTCTATGAGGTTTTTCCTTTTTTTTCCATGGAGACATCATTCAATGTTGGCTTTTTAAAGTATGTGCCAGGACCTGGTCTATGTAGTTTTCTTTTGAAGAGTCATTGCCTGTGCAATTCAAAGACAGAAACAACCATGTAACAGCACTGGGTTGTGTTTTTGAACTAGGATCTACTTTCTCTTCTGACAAAACCCAAAGTTATAGAGAATATATAAAGATAAAACAGAATTTGGGGACATTATATTTCATATGAGGAAAAATCTTTCCTTGACCCATTTTTATAATCAGAATACAAGCTGTCTGGTTTCTGAGTCACATGTGTTTACCATACACTTAAATTGTAATTTTATGATGCCCTTGAGCATTAGTTTAAATATTCTGATATACAGTGATTTTTAAGTAGACTGAGTTCTTAAGTGACAATCAGGAAGCTAACTCACCCGTATTTCTCATATTGTAGAGAAGTCTATCTTTTCAAAGTTCATTTTCTCCTCCAATTGCTGAGATTATCTGGACTTTCCAAAATTGCTATGTATATATCATGCACAGAAATTGAGCTTTTAGGGTACAGACTGTTTTGTTCATTTTAATGTCCCAGTACTCAGTACATCCTAAGATGCTGCATGCATTCAACAATGTTTATTAAATTAATATTTAATGAATGCTTTCAAGAAATAAGCATTGTGTAAGTTTAAAGTAGTCATAAAATACACAACTGAATTAAAATGAAAGGCAGTATCTAATGTCTATGCTCATTCATTTCCTTCAGATCAGAATGTAATTTTTTATTTTGGAGGAGATCAAGTATAATAAAGTCTGTGTTACATAACGGAAGTGATAACACGTTTTCTTCCAAATAATCTGATCAAAGGCAAAAGCTCCAAAGGTGGAATTAATGACAGATTCTCAGCTTCTTCTGAAGCTCACTAAAATGCGCTGTCCATGAGGCTATTTGTATAAACAGAATACAATTTTCCTTTTGCTAAGTCAGTAAGGTTACATTTTATTTATGTAAAAAAAACCCCAAAATTGATTGAAAATGAATTCTTAATGCTGATGAGAGTAAGTCAAGAGAATTAATTCTCTATGGTTTGTGTAAGGATCCTTAATACAACTTTTCTGGAAAATACTTTGAGAATAGAGAATACTTTATAAAAGAGGCTTAAAGAGTTTGTGGCTCTTTATTTAAACCCAAGAGTTTTACTTCCAGATATTTATGTAAAATAAATAATCAGAGATATCAATGTTTAAGGATATCAGGATGTCTGTTACCTAATAATACTGAGACCTTTGAAATAACTTCAATTTTTTAATAATAAAGGACTGGTTAAATAAATTAAGAAATATTTACTCAAGAGAGTATTATCCAATATGAGGTATCAATTTGTAGAAACTAGGTGTTAAATCCTGGCTTTTCTATTTTCAAGTTCAATGACCTTGAGCAAGTGTCTTATTTATCTGTGTTCTAATTTTTAGGCAATAAATTATTTTTTAACATAGTGTTAATTTTTTATCAAAGTTATACACAGTCATAATTCTTAGAACCAATTATTGTACAAGGTTTATTACAGGAAAAACAGCAGAATGCTGACTATTTCTTTCCAATTTCTTTTTCCCTAGAGGCGATCACTTTCAGCTTTTTAACTGATTTTATATATTTCTCCGAACTTCCACTGCTCTAAAAACAGAGAAACAAGAAATAAACTTGATTTTTGAGTTTTAGGAATCATTTATTGACTTCCTACTGAAGCAAATTATAGTTTAGCTTCCTTATACCACCTCTACCCCGAGCATATATGCGCACACCTTTAAGTCTCTGCAACAGAGTTTTATCACAATTTTGGTTACACCATTAGTGTTTATAGTATTACCACCATATAAATAGGAGATGTTGCTTAGTCACATGGGGTACTATTATTATCTTTCCTTTTCTGAACAAATTTTGGTTCTTTGTTTTACTTTGCTTTTTCATGGTTGTTATTGCGAATCATTCTTAGTTTCCTATGTATTTGTCATCCTTTTTTTTCACAAACATTTCCCCAGTTGTACAAACCTTCTCTCAATATGCTAATGCACATTAAGCATCAATTTTATGTACCCACGAAAGTCTCCCAAGAGGCTACTGACTTGTCCATGTCAGAACTGTTTGGTACTTAACTGTTGTTTTGAAATCTCTTTTCACCATTATTCTGAGAATTATTTTTCCCTAATCTGTTTGGGATTTCATTACCAGGATTCTATGTCTTTCTCTTAATTTTCATTTTGACTTGGCAGAACAGCTTTCTGAGAAAATATACCTAAGAGATAAAAATGAAACTACATATATCTAAATTTTTTTTTAAATTTCACTTTCATATTAAACTGGTCATTGGCTGGATACAGAACCCCAGACTAGAAATCATGTACCCTCAGAATTTTGAAGGTGTCAATCTATTGCTTTCTGGAGTTTCTAATAAAAGATTTGATTAAAAAAAAAAAAGCAAACATTTTCTCAGCACTGACTAGGTGTCAGTTCAATTCTATATGTATATCTGTTTATCATCTCATTTGATCCTCCCAACAATCACCATTTTACACTGGTGCCTCTGTAACTGAGTAAGTTTCCGAGGTTTAAGGCCAGCAATTCCAGAGTCTGGAATTAGAATTCAAGTGAGATGGATTGAGAACTCTTAACCTCCATGCTTTGCCACCATTCTGATTATGGATCCTGTCATAAAATATGAACTTTCTATCTGTATACTTTTGTTATTATTCTTATTATTCAGTATTTTCAAAATTTTGCAATACTTTGTCTTGTGGTAAGTCATTTATCATTCATTATCGTGAACACACAGTGGGACCTTGCATTCTGGAATGCTGTGCTTCAATTCTGAAAGAAAGTTCTTCAATTATTTTTGTATTAGTTCCCTTGCTTCCATTTTCTCTGTTCCCTGTTTCTAGATTTCATGGACTAGTGCAACCAATTTTCCAACTCTTTGCTTGTTCTCTTTTCCATAAATTTGCCTTCTTGCTCTGCTTTCTGTAAGTTTTCCTCAACTTTACCTACCAAATTTTCCACTGAACTTTTTGTTTTGATCATATTTTACTAAGAGCTTGCTTTCCTCCTCTTTGAATGTACTCCTTGAAAGCATTTAGTTTTTCCCCACAGGTTTACTTACTCATAGCTCATAGCTCATGAATATATCTCATGTATTCATATGCACATTAATCAGAATATTTAGATTCTTAAATTATTTAGATTTTCAAAGAACTTTCATGCCAGCTGCTGTTTTGTCTTCCCTTGTGTCCCATCTGCAGTATGGGGTGCACACAGACCAGTTGCATTAGAGAGCTGACTGGAACTTCCTGCAGATGGAAGGAGTTTATGGACTGGTCATCTGTGTATCGATGGCTGCTGGACTATTTTACTGGGGAATCTGTGATGTTGGTATCTTTTATTTTATTTTATTTTTGTTGGGGGATAGGCTGATTCCTCAGAGATCAGTGTTCCAATCTCCTGCCTGAAGGGAAAATTCTGGCTACCAGAGTTTTAGCAGTCAAGTAGGTAGAAAGAAAGTAGTCAATGTACACATGAAACCTAATTCTCTGCTTTCGACATAATACTCCTGCCCTTACCCGGTGTCTCCTATTTGAAGCCCTTCTGAATTGTCCCAGCTATATTGCTAGTGCCCTGCTGGGACAAGCCAGGGAGAGAGGAGGGAGGCACAGGTCCTGCCACGTGTGGAGTGACCTTCCAGCTCTGGGACTTGATGAGTTGCTTTTCATATTTTCCCATGTTTAGCTTCAGATTCTGTTTTCTTGCGTTTCCCCAGTCAAGTTCGCTGGTCCATCTGCTTCTGCTGCTCTTACATTCTCAGTTCTGGAGTATCCATGCTTTTTCAAAAGCCTCCATTTTTGTCATTTTAGTGGGCTTTGAAGAAGCGACACAGGCAATAAAATGTGTGTTTCTACCAGGTAAGGGGTGTGTAAACTTGCCACTCCTAATTAGTACCTTCTGCTGAGTGCTTTAAACTTCAGTTTCTTTATATCTAAAATTCAGGTGCTAATACTTAACTCTTAGAATTGATATAAAGATTCAAAAGCATTGAATCAGGTAAGTGAACACAGAAACACTTGGAATGATGCCTTGTACACAGCAAGTTAGTCACTATTAATGAACCTTAACATGGTATCTTAAGAACAGAAGCATACTCAAATTAGCTCAAGTTAAAAATGTACTTAGAAAAAATAAAATAAAAAAGATACAGAGAAGAATTTTGGAATCCACTTGGAGAAAAAACCAGTAAGATCTCCCTGCTGTTGGAAATGCCTCCAGTATATACCATCTCCTATGTCTCTTCCTCTCCCAGGACACAAGCTTGTCCAGTGCCTTGCCTGTTTTTTTCAGTGTGTCTCTTCCATTCTCTTGTTTCTCCCTTACACTGGGTTGCTCCATTTCTTCAGTGTACCCATAGCTGAAAATGGCCTCAAACTCCATCACAGACTTTTATTTGCTGACACTTGTTCTGTCCCTCAGTTGCACTTTCTCAGGCATGACTGGCGGATTGTCCTTGCTCAGCAGAGTCCATCTTCTTTCCAGTCAGCCTGCCGTGGGACCATGTGATCCCAGTGCTGCCTCTTACAGGCTATAGGATAAGAGTGCCATGAAGTAATGGGGACCTCTACTATCCTGAGATACAGATTGTAATGTAATCTTAAGAGAAAAAGAAAGAATATAAAGCAGCATGAATGGGATGTTATAAAGTTTATGTATAATATATATATATATATAAATATATGTGTGTGTGTGTGTATGTGTGTGTGTATATGTATATACATATATATATGAACATATGTATGTATGTATGTGTAGATGTGTGTATATACACACTCTCAGGGGGTTGTTGAAGGGTTGTTACATGCATGAGAAAATGCACATAAAAATATTTAGAATAATTCATGCCCACAGTAAATTCAATAAATGTTTTATGTTATAGAAGTAAAATATTTAGAAAAAAAGTGCTAAAGGAAAATTCACTAATAATTATGTTTTTTTTCTCTGTAAGGTATAGATATGGATGGTTTATGTTTTCTGATTTGTACTTCTCAGGACTAATTGTTTTTTTTTACAACAACAGTGCATTTCTTATATAATCATACAATTCATTCTATTGATACAAAAATGAACATATGAAAATATAACAATTGGTTAGAATTTATCTTCCAACTACTGGTTCCTCTATGTATTTGACAGCTTGAAAAAAAAATTTCTACATGTCACTTTTCTTTTAATGCTCCTGTGTTTCTAGTTCTCTTCCTTTGATATGGTAAGGTGAGGGAGCCTGAAGGTATCTGGGCTTTGTGATGCATGAGAGCACTTTAAAGTTTCATAGACCTATTAGAGTTTCCAAGTTGGTAAGCTCAGAGAAAGCGTTGAGAAAGGAAGAGATGCAATATAGGAAAAACTAGACCTAAAGCCTTCACCCCAAAATTAGTTATTTAAAAATATTACTGAATTAATACATTTAATGAATCTCCATTATCTTTTCCTCTGGTATCATGGTAACTCACTATCCTCCTAAATGTTATTTTCCTTTTTAAGACAACTTGCCTTGTTTATCTGATTCCAGAGCATAATTGAAAACTCAGTTTCTCACAGCCAGAAAAGCAAATTAAATGTCATCTATTTCAAAAATCAGAATCTTTCAGATGAAAATATACAAGCCAAGAAAGTTGTCTTAACATAATAAATCTAGTAATAAGCAATGGTGTCAAATAAAGAAACAGTCTCACATTTTAACCTGATACTCTTTCTGCTGCAAGACTCTCCCACTTCCCTTTGTTTGGTTCATCATAAATTTCCAGGTCATTACCTTCTTTGCTAAATTAGATTGCTCTTAGAAGTGTCTGTGAAGTCATAGGTGATCTCTGAGGCAACAATTGATTACATAGGTTGATTCTCAATTTGAAGACTCATTACCAAGCGAGTAGCTCAGCATTTTAATTAAGGAAAGGAAAAGTCAGCTTAGACTATTCAATTTATATCTACTTTTACAGATTTGTTTCTTTGAAGGAAAACAACAACAACAAAAGAAATTCTTGTACTTTAGCAAAATTGCTTTTCTTTTGTGAAATTGTCAATTGACTTATAACCTGTGTTTCTTTTTGTGCTGGGCCTTCTAAGAAGCTCAGAACCAAATCATGAGTAATTTCTAGTAAGGAGCCTTCAGTATTGTTTTCTTGTAATAATATTGCCTTCTGTAGGGAAAGGGGAGATACTAGGGGATGAAATTGACCAATTTATATTATGTGCATGTATGAATATGCCATGGTGAATCCCGCTATCATGTATAATTATAATGCAGCAATTAAAATTATAAAGTAAAAATTAAATGAATGAGTAAATAAAAACTTTTGTACAAGGATAAACAAATATGACTTCCCATGTGCTTTTTTTTTCTACCTTTGTTTTCTCTTTAAACCTATTTCCTTAACTGTATTTTTTTTTACTGACATAGTTTCATAAATCATTTCAAAATTTTCTTGGAATCAGACATTACATAAGCAAAAAAGGTGAAACAATTTTCATATGCTTTTTTTCAGTACACATCACTTTTAAAATACCTGTTATACTGCACTGAGACAAAGTTTACTCATATGTCTTGGTCAGTATCCATGGTAGGAAGGCTCTATATTACCCTGTGAAGTTATGAAACATAAAATGAATTAATTTTAAGACTTAGTTCTGTTGCTGTATAAATCAACGTTGTCCTTGAATCTCTTTTCAGTTCAATGTGATCCATAAATCATTTCTTCTTGCAGCTTTTGACACATATTTATAATTTTAAATAGAAGGTGAATGTATATTGTTTCATGGCCCTGAAAGTTTTTCCATATAACTTTAAGGAATCTTCTGGAAAATTCTGCCAGCTTCATCATGCTGGCCCTATTTCAGATGTGTGGAACCTGAGGTCCACAGAGGTCATGACCTGAAAGCCATACATTAGACAAGCGGGCCCTCCATATTTTCAGCCCAGGGTGTTCCTAATTGTAAACCACAATGGCTTCTGAGCTTCGAAAAAATCAATACCTCCTTTTCCTCAGACCCACACAGAGCTCCTTACGAAGCTGACCTCATCCTGCTCTGTCCCTTATTAACATTGAACATCAATAGCTGAGGGAAAAGGGGGAGGCTCACAGACCCACCTATTGCTACAGTGTTCTGCATTATATTTATAGGTCTCTTTTCATATTTTAAGGCCTGGACTTTCTTGGGATCTTTTCTGCTTTGTGTATTTAAAACATGCATTTTTAGTGTGCCTAAAGAGAAGTTTTTCAAAAAATCCCCTTTATACAGCAATTATAGCATATTTTTTTTAAATGTGAGTTAATGGACACAATTTAAAAAAATAAGACAGTTTTAAAGTTAAATCCAAATATAAAGTACCTACATTCACAAAGAAAAACAAAAAAAGCCCACAATATTCATAGTGATTTTCCTTTGAATAAGAGCACTAACACTGAGATTAAGATGCCTTTGATTCTTTTCTAAGTCTAGCATTTCAAACTTATATCTAATCAGAACTCTTTTTAATTTCTCACCCACCATAAAAGCAGATATGTGTACCCTCCAGGCTCCCACAAATCATTAACAGCTTCTCCACTCTCCTTTGGTTGAGGCCCCAAACCTAGGAGTCTCTCTTGCCTCCTCTCTTTCCCTCACATATTGCAGCAAAATATAGCTTGAATCTGACTCCTTTACAGTTACCCTCTGAATCCCACCAAGATCCTACTCCGCTGCCACCTATCTGGCTTCACATCTCCACTCCTGCTCATCACCACCTGGCCCTTTCACCAAGTCTGTTGGAATGGCCTTTAGTTCACATTCAAGCTATATCATCTGCTCTTCTCCAGTGGCTTCCTTGAATCTGATGCCTGGCTGTCTGAGATCCGGCCCTGTCCTTTCTCTCTAGCTTCCCTCCTCTTTCTTGCTCCATTCCTACGACCACAGTGGCCTTCTTATTTGTCTTTAAAATGGCCACCCTGGTCCCCACCTCATGACTTTGTATTTGTTAGTCCCTCTGCCTGACACACATTTCCCAAAGACTTTGAAGAGTCTCCTTCCTCAATTCATTCCTGTCTCTGCTCAATGTCAAATCCTCACTGAGAGTCTCTTTACAAAAGGGAGCCTCCTTCACCTCTTCTGTTCGTTGCTATTTCCTCTGTCTGCATATTTTTCTTCATAGTGCTATCACTACCTCATTTCACCTAATGTGCCTATGTTTCTAGTCTTCCTGGAGGATATTAGCTGCATAGAGAATGGGAAGGACCTAATGGCTCCATCTCCAGCACTTACAGCAGTTCCTGCACAATAGAAGCCTTGTTTCAAATTATAAAGTAGCAGACTACAATTAGAAATAAAATACATACTTTTGCCTAAGCACAGACAAAAACTCCATTTGCAAACTGAGAACATTCTTTAAGAGGCAGCTTTAACACAGGAAAAGAATGAGCTGTCAGGATAACTGAGAACTTAGATGAAGAAAGTGAAAGTTCAGCTGGGCTTGACCTGACAGGAGGCAAAAGAGAAATAATGGGAGAAGGAAAATAAGACTGAAATTTAAAATAGAAAGGTCAAAGAAAACCAGCTTCCATGTTACAGACGACAGAGTAGCAGAGAGGACCAAATCCTGTAACTATCTGTGGAGAGGGATTCGGCACTGGGCACAGAGCTGCCAAGGTTATCACTCTGTAACAGAGCTTTGGGAACCCTTTAATGACAGTGACAGGCAATCTGTTGAAAGGTTAGCTGCAGAGGGCTCCTGTGATGGAAAGTGAACAGCAAAGTGCATGAAATGATACGGCCTATATCTAGTAATCGTACAGTGCAAGATTGAATGTTCATTGTGCAGAGATTGTAAACAGGACAAGGCATAGGAAATAGGAGCTCAGAGTGTTTTCAATATTAGATTTAGTAGAATTTAAAATGAAGCTTATTCTCAAATATCAACAGAAAGAAAATATTTAAAGAGAGGTGAACTGGCAGAGGGAGGAGGATGAGACAGAGGTGCATACAGAGTTGACCACACTCATGCACATGGTGCTGTGAGGGGAAAACAAGAAGAATTCCGAAAATAAAATCCGGAATATTGTATGCATACATACACGTGCTCACACATATGGCATGACACAGATGAAATGGAATAATTAAAGATACTTTGATAATCATTTGACAACACGGTGAATTCAAAGCCCAAATTCCCAGGATTGAAAACAGGTCAAATCCCAAATTAGTTGAGTGACCTTATGTGATCAGCTAACCCTCACTTCTTCTTGTGAGGAAAAGAAGAGGCTTTAACTACATGATTCCTAAAATCCATTCCACTTTCAGCAATTTCTACACTATAATATTTGGCACGATTGAAGCAAATCACAACTGCAACACAGCTCCTAAAGAGTGACTCATCTCTTTAATTTGCTTATAGTTAATCAAATGTCATTTATTCATCAGCCATCCATCCTTCATTCAACAAACATTTATTCAGTATATGACAAATGCCACTCTAGGAGTTTTGACAGGCATAGAAAAGGTCCCTGCCCTTAAAGAATCTAATAATAATACTTTACCTAAAGGATTTGACCCCAGTTTTCAAAGTTTAATTGGTTTTCAAGAGTCTGGTAATAGAAATAGGTTTACTTATTTAAGAATGTACAGATTTCAGTGCATATCTATTTGCATCTGTGCTTTTTTATGAATCACATTAAATGTTTTTCTGCAAAGCTCCTATACATATGTATATGTATTCATATGTATATATAACTATATTTTTGCAAGCTGCTGCATTGTGTCAATCACAGGGAGAGTGGTAAATGCAGTTTATAGCTTGGTACCAACAACTGACTCACAGAACTCTGTCCTCCAACTAGTTCCACACTTCGGCATGGACAAAGGGATACCCTAGCTTGTGCAAGCTACTGCAAGAAGTCTCTGCATCCACACTAAGGCCCATCTGCTGGGTGGCTCAGGCTGAGCACAGCCTCCTTCAGGGGAGTTAAACAGTGCATTAGTCTCTCTTCATAGCCTATTGAGTTCTGCTTCTGAATGCCCATTTATCAGAGAATAAAGTGATTTTGCATTCCTTTCTCTACTTGAGGATGGTCTATACTATGTGATGATTCTTTTTAGTCTTCTCTGCCCATTTTCTGATTTACCACTAATTCCTAGCATTCACTCAGTTTTTCCAGGATCTCACAATTGATTCACATCAAAACATTTATTATCAGAAAAACATTCAAACAAGTTTACTTTGGTTGTGGAATTTATGCCACCTTTTTAAGGAATGAAAAAAAAAAAGACACCAAAAAAGGCCTGTATTCTTTAACTCAACAACCACTTAGGAAAGCAAAAACAGTTCTTTAAGAACCAGATGGCCACTTCCTTCTGCACCATCTACCTAGTACCCAGAGATGTGTGACTTTAGGGAGAAACTTAAAAAATTTAAAATTCCTATAATTTACCTCACCTAAAAAATAAGAAATAAAATATACAAAAAAATAGATAATTATATTTTTACTGTTTTGTGAGAGAGTCTTAAAAATCTCATTTCTTGGTGGCAGACATGGAAATGTGCCAGTTAAGGAATACTTACTATCCAGCTTCAAGGAAATATGATCAGTAGAAAGCCTCCCCATGGGCCCTTCAGGATCTGCCTCCCCTATAGGGAGCCAAGGTGATACCATTCTCAGGGTGCTCCATCCAATGACTGGACAGGGCAGGGGTATAGGAGGAGGGTCATATGGGACCAAAGTAGAATGCTCTAATGGGCTCAGACTCCTCAGGAATGGGGTTTGGGGTAAATAAAAGACCAGGTAACTTGCAGAGGGTAGCAAAGAGCTAGC